CTGCCCATCGGGCCCGCGGTGACGTCCGGCCGTGCGGCCTGGTGACAAAGTGCCGCTATGGCCGGGGACGGGCGGAATGCGGCCCCGGGGCGGGGTGGCACTGAGGGCGGCCGGGGGCTCCGGGCAAAGCCAACACAGCACAGCTTGTCCGGCAGACAATAAGGGATGTGTTGTGGCGGAATGAATGAGCTGAGCCAAGGGATGTCAAATGTTTACTCTGGGTTTCCACAGCGCGGTGGGATGAAGGCCGAGGCCTCCACTCCGAGCGGCGAAGAGCTGTGGGAGCGTTGGGATGGAGCTCGGAGAACCTGGGCCTTTTGTGACACCTTTGTGGCCTCAACCAGGTCTCACACAAAGCCAGAGGGAACAGGATCCTGGAATGGTTTGGCTTGGGAGGGATCTTAAAGATCACCCAGTTCCAAGCCCCTGCTGTGGACAGGGCCAGTGACAGGTGGTGTTTCAGTTGGTGCTTTGAGGATCCCATTCGTGCTCAAATCCTCTCTCAGGCTGCACTTAAGCAGTGCAAAAATTAATGTCATTGTGCATCCTAATGCCTTTCAACATTCCCAGTCCAGTGGTGGGATTGGAGAGGTGTCCATGCAGCTTCCACATGGTTCATAGTACGAGCTGCTCCTGTGATCCTGTGGATGGAGGATGTTGTGAAATCCCTGCTCCGAGATGGATCTGAGTGGTGCAGAGACACCATGAACGTTCTTTAACGTGCTCCTGGGGCAAGTGAGGCAACTGCAGGTGAGGGCTCAGCCCTGCTTTGTTCCAGGGCCAATGCCACCAGCTTGGTGGCCTTTGTGCCCACAGCGAGGGGGTTTGCAGCCCCCAGACTGTGACTCGTGCATTGTATCCCCTCCTCCTGCCAATGCTGAATCCCATTTATTACAGACAACTTCACAGGCTTTTAATGAACCTTCCTGAGCTTAATTTACAACTCGGGGAAAGATAGACAAGGTGACAAAGTGAACTGAAATATGAAATTACTTTAATTGCAGAGGAGGACAGTTTATAGGCTTCAGAATCCAAGTCATTTATTTTAATGATCTCCTCTGCCCTCAACACATAATTACCATCCCCATTCCGAGCTGGTTTCAGGAGAGGTATGCAGGGAAAGCTGGTTGGACCTGTTCAGGCGGCAGAACTTTTGGCAACTAATAATCCGAGACGAAAAACGAATTAAAAGCAAAATATATTGTCATGTCAGAAACACTTTTCATTTTAAGGCACGCTGGGTTTTGCTTCGTTTCCTGGAGACAGCTGTGGTCCATCTGAAAGCAGCAATCCGAGGCACACGGCGCTGGTTGAGTGCCTTTCCAACCCTACATGGGAAAACACTTGGAAAATCCCTAGGAATCAGCACAGGGGCTGAGGGGTAATGCAGCCTTTGAGGGGAGGAGATGGAAATGTTTCATTTCCCTCTTGCTCCTTGCGTTGGTGGGTTGGGTGTTTGGGGTGGTAATAAAAAAAAATGTGAGCTTTGAGAAATGGATGCTGCTTTTCCCTGGTGGATATCTGATTTTGGCTGGTCCTACTCAAAATCAGCTGGAGTTTTTCAACCCCTGTGGAAAGAGGGGATGTCTGTGAGCAGCTCCAAGCTGTTTTCATGGAGCTCTGGTCCCTCAGTGTGAAAACCTGGATGTTGCTGGAGCCTCTTGTGGGTGTTTGGGTACGTGAACATTTTGGTGCACCCCGACTTTTCCAATGTGGCTGCTGGGGGAGGGATTTGAAGGAGGCTGTGTTGGAATTACCCAGCTTGGCTTAGCTCTGCCTCTGCTTCTCAGGGTCCAGGAGATCTCCAGCTGAGCTTGGCCTGGCTTCCTCGGAGTTAAAACTCTGCTGTCCCTCAGAAACCTGAGCACCAGGCCCTGCTTTTCCTCTGGCAGGGTGGGAAAGTGGGAGGAAATTGGGTGTAACCTGAGGAAGTTGGAAAGCAAAGATGAGCCCAGGCTGGTGGGACTCATGCCAAGGAACGGGTTCTGAGCCAGGCTGATGCACCTTCCTCCAGGGAAAGGAGGTGAAAATACATTTTTCTTACAGGGATCATTAAGTTCCTTGGATTGGACAGTTGTGGCACAGAGTTTCTTGATTATTTTCAGATTTTTTTTTTTTTAAACCACAAGGATTGGTTGTGGACCAAGTGATCACAGAGTCATTAAAGTCTGTTAGCTCTGTGTAAAGTGGTCATGAATATGTGGCAAAATGGGACAAAATCCAAAGGCACCTGGACTCTCCATCCACCTGCTGGAATAGGCTGGCTGGCATTTCACGTGGCCCTGGCTCTGAAGTCATGCAGCACCAGAAATTTGGGTTTCAGGGGTGTTGTGGGACTTGAGGCCCAAAATCCCCCATGAGAGTCAGCAAAAACTGCATGTGCCCAGGGGCACAGCAAATTGTCCCAGTGCTGGTGAGTTGCTGGAGTGGAAAACCAAAGATTTTCCAAGCTAATGTTTCCCAAAGTTGGCATTTTGACATCTTTGAGCTTGACTTGTTATCTAAAGATTGGCTGCTGGGCAGTGGGAGCAGGTAGAACTGGCTCTGGGATTGTGGCTACTGCTGCTCTGGCCTTTAAGACTTAGCTACAAGAAATAGTAAATTAATTTTCCTGAGTAGCTCTGCCTCCTTGGCCAGATCAGGCTCCAGAATGAGGTGCTCCTGGCCTGAAGGAGAAGTGTGACATTCCTCCCCAAAACAAAATATCACAGGTCCTTCATGTGCTCAGCCCAGCACAGCCCCTCTTGGCCCGGCTCCAGTGCTGCCTCCAAAGTGTTTGCTTTAAAACCACACTTTAAAAAAAAAAGCTCTATCAAAAAGAATGTGAAGGATGCAGAGTTTAGGTCTTAAAATTGGGAAATAGTACAATAAAGCTGCTTTTGTAAACTTCTTTCAGTCTCCTTGTGCAATAACCCACCCTGCTTTCCAGCCTTTCTTCTCTCTGCTGCTGCTGGCCATCAGTGGAAGGAGTGATGGAAGGAAGAGGCCATCTGGCCTTTTTCTGCTGTTTTTCATGCTTGGCAGCATTGTGCTGCTGGGAGCTGGGCTGGGGAGAGGAGCTCCTGTTGGTGTAGCCATGGGAATGGGGGGTGATGAGATGGGGAGGTGCTCAGGGGGGCAGATGGTGTCCCCTGGCTGCTGTGCTTCTGCCCTGGGACAGCTGGAGGCATCAAAGCACATGGGAGGAGTGTTTGGGAGAGAAATGGAGCTGGGCTGGGTGATGCCCAACCATGAGCATGAAGGGACCTGGCTCCCCTTGGCCACTCTCCTGGGCTTCCTTTGCTGATTCCTGCTCCTGGGAGGCCTCACAAAGCTTGCAGCAGGAGCTTGTGTGCCCAGGGTTGGTCATTCTGGGGGGGCAGGTGCCCAAATCCCATCAGCAGTGTCCCTTTTCCCTCCTCTCGCTGTACAGCCGCTCCTTGGTGCACAGGGGTTCTGGGACTTGTTCTCCTGGGTCGGTTTTTTACCCAGAGGGAGGATCATGAGTGAGTAAAACACCTCAGAGTGGCTCCTGTCTCCCTTTCCACCAGCCCCTT